AGCGTCCAATGGTACGTTAGCAAAGTTATTGGTAGGGCTTAATTACCAACATTCATAGTCATTAAAATGAAGCATGTAATCATACCAATGTACCAAATATAGTAGATTACCATGAAATAATAATTATTATGAAGAGGTAATAAACGGGATTAGCCCCTAAACTTAATAACAGTAATTAATAATGCCAAATTTAACTTAATAAATGGCAAAACTGTAATCAAGGGATGCCAAATACTAATCTCAATTTTACCACATAATAATTAACCATGACTATTATGATACTTAGGGAGACTGAAGTTTAACCAAATTACCGTTAAATAAACAATACACCAACTATATTGCTTTTGCCATAAAATTAAAGAGTTAATATTATTATTAGGAATAAGGGTCAAATAGGCCACTGAAGTGCACTCAAAACTACAATTGGGCCACTGAACTCAAAAAGCTTGCAATTAAGTCCCTGAATCAACCAACAACATGCAATTTTGTAAATTTCCCAGTTTTAAAGGTTTCTTACCGGTAATTTGCCAACTTGGATTCCATGTGGGATTTTAATTTTTTTTTTAACAAAAAAAATACAAACACATGTGGCATTATTTTAATATCCCATTTTATGTTAAAACAAATCAACTCTCTATTTCTCTCTGTCCATCGCGAAAATTTCTGAGACTATGAGAGCAACTGCCATTGACGACTCCTCTAAGCGCAAAATCCGGTGACCTTGTCCGAAATTCTACCATTGGCGACCCCAAGCTATTGCAAATCCAAGTAAGTCACCTATATCGTATACTTTTGTCTTACAATACTATATTTTTGTAAGAAATGCAAATAAGTTGTTTCTAGGGTTTATAGTCGTGGGTTCTTACTTTTTGTTCAAGATTGGGTGTTGTAGGATTTATGGTTATGGGGATTGCGTTACCTTCTTGTCTGTACTTGATTAGTTGTATTCATTGAATATGTATTCTAAAATACCAGCAAGTTTTTGATTTACTCAAAAATGTGATCCTTCTTTGTCGTACATAGTGGAAGTAGTTGAGTATTTTATTACAGATGTGGTTGAATGTTTCTAGATTAAATGATTTTTTGTGTGCAAATGGGGTCCAATTTCAGTGTGTTTGGTCTGTTGGGGTCCAATTGCAGTGTGTTTGTGCAAATGGGGTCCAGTTGCAGTGTGTTGACAACCAAAGAATTTCCGGCCATTATCACGAGCTATGCATAATGGAGATTTCAACCCACATTTGCAATACAAAGCAGGCTCATAATGCAAGTTGACATTACGCCTCGTGAAGTTGGGTGAAGATGGAGAAAATCTGGAATTTAATGAAGACATTGTTGAAGAATCACCCACGTCCTTCCCTAGTGTCGTATAGTACGGTGGTTTGACGATCTGAAATTTTTGCGATGAACCTCGGTCCTTCCCTAGGGTTCAGAGTTGCGATGAAGTTGGATGGGGATGGAGAAAGATCGCAAACGTACTGTCTCTCTTTTGGTAAGTATTCCAGTGTTTTATAAACTATTTTATTAGGTTTAGTTTTTAATATATATATATATATATATATATATATATATATATATATATATATATATATATATATATATATATATATATATATTAAATAAGAAGAAAAAAAATCCCACATGGAATCCAAGTTGGCAAATTACCGGTAACAAACTTGTAAAACTGGGAAATTGGCAAAATTGCACGTTGTTGGTTGATTCAGGGACTTAATTGCAGGTTTTTTGAGTTCAGTGGCCCAATTGTAGTTTTGAGTGCACTTCAGTGGCCTATTTGACCCTTATTCCTTATTATTAAGGCCCCGAAAAACTATTGATAGATTAAAAATTAATCAACTTAAACAATAGTTTGTAATTCTTAATGGCCAAAATAACAATTAAATCCTTAAATCCTCAATGTCTCAAAAACAGGCCAAGACAATAATTATAGCACTTGATCACTCAAATTAGGCTCGTAAACCTCAATGGCCTAAGTGAATTATAACATGGATGGAAAAAGGTCTAATACTGAAGTAGACTCAAAACTTAATATTATTACCAACGATGAATACCAAAATATGGTAGTTAGTAATAATTAAAATTTAATAAACATGTTATAAGGAGCTATAATTATTATTAAAATATCAATCAAAATGGTGGGATCCATCCTTTAATGACCCAAGATAGGTCCCAAATAGCTTGTTCAAAACAGGTTCTAAAGTCCCTAAAGACACATAAAACTAAAATGTGCTCAAATTAAAGGGAAACCAAACAAGCTACTTTAGTAGGTCATAATACCTAAAATTGGTCAAAGGATCTAAAATTAAATGATATTTTCATAAAGAATTTATGAGTTAATAATATGTTAAATCCAACCTTAATGCATGCTATTATGAATGCATAATTATATATAATAATAAAATAATTATTTAATAGATATACATAGCATGCTTGAATTTGCATATTAATATATTATTAACTCATATATCCTAAATAAATTGCAATACTTGAGGCAATTTAATATACAACTTAACATTAAATTAAAATTCAAACAGCAAATTAAAACTTAATATTTGCTCCAAATTGAATGATAATTTAACAATGAATTTAATACCAAAATTAATAGGAGAACTAAATGGCATTAATATTCCAAAATAAGCAATTACCATATATTTACCATTTGTCAAAATAATATACAATATTAATTAAAGTCAAATTAACATGGTAATATTAAACCTAATGTAATTACCATACCAAAATTAATATGTATAATATTAAATAAGGCAAATAAATATGATAAATAAAAATGTAAATTGCTCTTTAATATTAAAAGACATAGGTCTATGACTGTCGTAATTCTATACTAGCTTTGTTTCTCCACCACTAGCAACAAGGCCGCAACGCCCCACCGCGCAACTAGTGACCGGTGCTACATGTAGTGCTCAATAGCACTGCGTACCAACGATTCTCCGACGGAACTCATGGTGGTTCCCAAAACACGGCAAACAAGCTCATAATTTCATATATAATTAATCAAACTATATATATGATGCTTGAAGATTCAAAATGAAATACGTACACAACACAGTATACACATGTATACATACTCAATAACTTATTTTGAGCTTAATGTTAGATTTGAATCCAGCATACAAATATATACAAATTAAACTCCATGTGTATATAAAAATTAATGTTGATTAAGGCAAAACAATCAACCAGGCAGAGATTGATAAAGGCTCTGAAACCAAATGTTAGATCTAAATAGTCTAACTATAATAAACCATAGTATACGAGAAACCTGACCTCGTATGATAGCGGAAGCGTAGCCGTGATAATCTCCAGCCATAGTTGATGTTCCTGTTGTGTTGCCTCTTAACGGTAGACCGTTGTTGTGTTGCCTCTTAACGGTAGACCGTTAGCCATGTATTGCCTCAGACCTGACTCAGAACCCTAGATGGTGTATTGGTATCTACTGAGCAGTCTGAGTACCGTAACTGAATGTGCTAACATCCATCATCCTGTATCCCATCAATCCAGGATTATATTAGGCACAGAGTCTGGTTGACTAACAACTTCTAGTTATTCAGTCCAACCAGACCACTTAATAAGCCTAGTCAACTTGCACCACTTAATTAAGGCCGTAATATATAATATATAATATATATTATTAGGGGAAATCTTACACGAAGTACTAGGGAGGAGTCGTGCTTTAAGGAGATGAGTGATTTTTTTTTGTTAAACACTTGTGTGAGACGTCTCACGTATTCTTGTACGTGAGACATGTCAAGTCAAAATGAAAATGTCGAATACTTATACTGAAAAATGTAATACTAATAAGAAAATAATGTTTATTACTTATATGGGAAGATATAATACTTTTGATGAAAAATGTAATACTTTTATATTTTGATTTAAAAGTATTATAATTTCCTCAAAAATATTACATTTTCCTTTATAAGTAATAAACACTTACTAACATTACTTACAAAAGAAAGTGTAATATTTTAGATAAAAATGTAATGTTTTTACACCAAAATGTAAAAGTATTACACTTTTAATTTCTTATAAGTAACAAATACTTTATTCTTAATTAGTATTGTATTGCATTTTTTAATATAAGTATTATATTTTTATATTGATCTGATCCGTCACACACAAGTGTGACTTTTTGAATTATAAAGAGAAGCTATGTTAACTTGGTAGACCTATACTACACTTATTTTTCGATAAATACAAAAGCAGGATGAACGTAAATTATATTTGCAGTTGAAATATTTTGTATTTGCAGTTAATGGTTTAGATGTCTGTAAATAAATTGAAGGAACATAACATGTTAACTACATACACATAAGTTATATATTAACTGCATGTACATAATATGTTAACTGCAAACACATAATATGTTAAGTGTTAACAATATATTGTGTCTACAGTTAAGATATTTTGTACTTGTAGTTAACAGTTTATGTGTCTGTAGTTATCATTTTATGTGTCTGTAGCTAACATGTTATGTGCCTTCAATTTATTTAAAAGCACATAAACGTTTAAATGTAGGTACAGAATATACAACTGCATGTATGCATACACATAATTTTTAAATTAAAGTCCACAATATACAAAATAGACTGTTTTCCATGGTATAACAATTGCATGTTGAATAACTACCACTCCATTTTACACTATCCAAATACAATCATTGTTGTGTGGATCATACTATCAAATAATGTACATTTAGTATATAAATAATGTACTTTTAGTATATTAAAAATGTACATTGCACTCAGGTAAAAATACATTATTTATATACTGAATGTATATTATATCATATAATGTACATTCAGTACACGAGTAATATACTTTTAGTATATTAAAAATATATTTTTGTTATAATCTACACAACACTGTGTTAATAATGGTCCACACAATAATTTTCCATCCAAATATAGACCTAGCCATTTAATTATATTACCATTATTACTATACAAATTAAACCCAACTAAACATTTCATATACCCATCTCAACTATAGTATATTAGCTGTAGATCCAAAGAGAAGGAATATGCCCAACTTAGATTCTCTCCCTTCCACTTAAATACCCACCAGCTCTCCTCTCCCACTCTCCCTCCATAACACCATCAACTTCTTCTCTTTCGGTGCTTGCTACCATTCATCACCTGGTTAGCTTCTTTTTCATCACTTTTTTTACATTAATTATTTTTGTTATAATAATGTAGACATCCAACTTATGGGTTTTGATTTCTTCGTCATCTTCTCATACATCTCCCAAAATTTTTCAGTGCATGCCTTCTACTAAAATGGCTTTTATCAAAATAAAAATAAAAATAAAATAAAAAAATTGATCATATCACATTTTTTTAGTACGATCATATCGCATTGTCTAATCTAATCTAAAATCTAAATCTAAAAATATAATAAGTGTGAATGAAAGTTATACCCCTGATTTATGTTCGTTTTTCCGTTAAGATTTTTTTTTGTACATTATGCTATAAAGGTTGTACATTAAAATATTTTGAACTTACATACCCCTACCGTTATAACTTCCGTTATCCTTTCCACTATTGTTACCATGCACATGCATCTACCATATATTTTCTTATCGTCTTCATTAATAATAATATATACACATTAAAAATTTGAGTTATATGTTAATTATTACACAAATATAAATATCAAATTTATAAAAAATGATTTACATTATTATTATTATTATTTAGAATAATTTAAAAATCTAAAATCTAAATAAATTTAAAATTTTAATATAATCTATTAATATTGAGCACCTATTTTTTGAGCATAGCGCATAAAAAATACTAGTTAAATTAATAAAAACGAATAAATTTTTCATCTAAAATTGTCCTAGATTTTTAATTTCTTCAAGTGTACGTGTAAGTGTGTAACCATGTCTACCGTTTTTGCATGTGGCAGAATCCCATTAATTATTAAACGTTTATTCAATAATAACTACTAATTACAATCTCATTTAATAACAGATATTATTTTAACAGGTTAAAAAAATTTCCCTATGTTTTAAATTGTTCTTGGCCCTGCCAGGCAGGAATTATTACCTTGTACATTATATTCTTCATATCTCCTTTATTTGTATTTGATGTAATTCAATAAAAACAAAAAAAAAAAACAAAAAAAAAAACAAAACAAAACAAAACAAAACAAAACAAAACAAAACAAAAAAAATCTCTTAAATTTTAAGGATATTATTGGAGAAAATATATGGAGTGTTTTTTCCAGTCAGTTATAAATTGTACTCCATACTTTTTTTTTGAAAGGAAAAGTACTCCATACTTGATTTCATTAAAAAGGATTTTTAGAAGATTAATATAGAAAATTGTAATTATTTATAGTATATTCCATACATATATACACATTTGCAATGACTAATAGCCAATTGGCAAGATTTTAGGGATGGCATTCACTGGGGATGGATTAAATTTACTTAACCCAATAATGATAGAAATAAAAAAATGAATAATAAATAGTAAAGACAAGGAATATGTATTGCGGAGACAATATTTGTATTAATAATTAATAATTAATAATTAATAATAATAATAATAGTGGGGTAAAATGATTACAAAGTGAGAGAATGATTGAAAGATCAGATGTCTTCGTCAAGACAATAATGAGCTAATTTATACAAGATTTTCTCCTAATCACCCGCATGAGAATAGGGCGGACCATTGGATCCTCCTTGACCGCGTCCGGCATGTAGCACACAAGGCCGATGCTGCTTCCCGCCGAGGTCACCCTAGGTTGAGGCTGCCTCCGGTCAAGGCCACCCCAGGCTGAGGCCGCCTCGTTGCCTCAACCCGGGGCTACCCCGAGCCATCCCAAGGCTGGCACGTCCTTTGGGTCGCCTCTACTTCTCCTTGGGTTAGTTTGGTCCAGATCGTCTCTAATATATCCATCAGTTAGAAATATATACCATAATTTCACTCTCTAGAAGTGGCTTATCTTAGCTTGTTGTTTGATTTGATGATTTTCTTTGGTATTGTGCGACTTTTGCAGGATTTTAGTAGCAGTCGGAGGAGTTGGTGTGAATGGCAGGGGATCAATTACAAGTGTTGAATGCCCTTGATGTTGCTAAAACACAATGGTATCATTTCACAGCCATTGTGATTGCTGGGATGGGGTTTTTCACGGACGCCTATGATCTCTTCTGCATTTCTCTAGTCACCAAATTGCTGGGCCGGATTTACTACCACGTCGACGGTGCGCCCAAGCCAGGGACGCTGCCGCCCAACGTCTCCGCCGCCGTCAACGGCGTCGCGTTATGCGGCACCCTCGCCGGGCAGCTGTTTTTCGGGTGGCTAGGGGACAAGATGGGGAGGAAGAAGGTGTACGGGATGACCCTTATGATCATGGTCATTTGCTCCGTCGCGTCCGGGCTATCCTGCGGCCGTACCCCAAAGAGCGTCATGGCTACTCTCTGCTTCTTCCGCTTCTGGCTCGGCTTTGGCATCGGCGGCGACTACCCGCTCTCCGCCACCATCATGTCGGAGTACGCAAACAAGAAGACTCGCGGCGCGTTCATCGCCGCCGTTTTCGCAATGCAAGGTTTCGGGATTTTGGCTGGCGGGTTGGTCGCAATCATCACCGCCGCCGCCTTCAAGTCCGCGTTTCCGGCACCGACCTACCACGATAACCCCTCTTTATCAACTGCACCGCAGGCTGATTTCCTGTGGCGTATAGTCCTCATGTTCGGCGCTTTGCCGGCGGCGCTGACGTATTACTCGCGCATGAAGATGCCGGAAACCGCCCGCTACACCGCCCTGGTCGCCAAGAACGCCAAACGGGCGGCTTCCGATATGTCTAAAGTGTTGCAAGTGGAAATCGAAGCTGAACAGGAGAAAATCGAGAAGCTAGCGAAAGACCCGGGGAACGAATTTGGTCTTTTTTCAAAGGAATTTCTTCGCCGCCATGGACTTCACTTGCTGGGAACAACAAGCACTTGGTTCTTGCTAGACATTGCTTTCTACAGCCAAAATCTTTTTCAAAAAGACATTTTCAGCGCGATTGGATGGATCCCTCCGGCCCCAACCATGAACGCTATTGAAGAGGTTTACAGAATTTCCAGGGCGCAAACTTTAATCGCCCTTTGTAGCACGGTGCCAGGGTACTGGTTCACGGTGGCTCTGATCGACAAAATGGGGCGATTCGCCATTCAATTAATTGGTTTCTTCTTCATGACCGTTTTCATGTTCCTCATAGCCATTCCCTACAATCACTGGACTCAAAAGGAGAACAGAATCGGCTTTGTTTCCATGTACTCCCTAACTTTCTTCTTCGCCAATTTCGGCCCAAACGCCACAACTTTCATCGTCCCTGCAGAGATCTTCCCCGCCCGGCTACGCTCCACCTGCCACGGCCTATCCGCGGCCGCCGGCAAGGCCGGAGCCATCATCGGAGCTTTCGGATTCTTGTACGGAGCTCAGTCCCCCGACCCCAAGAAGACCGAGGCAGGGTACCCGCCGGGGATCGGAGTGAAGAACTCTCTCATCGTGCTGGGTTGCATTAACTTCTTAGGCATGCTGTGCACACTACTGGTGCCGGAATCCAAAGGAAAATCGCTGGAAGAGTTGTCGAAGGAGAACCATGGAGAAGAAGGAGATTCAAGAGAGATATGATGTTTATATATATAGCTTATAAGATGAAATATAATAAGCTCTTCTGTATGTTTTACTGCGTTAATGTCTATTGTTATTGCCTCAAAGTAGCACTATAGACGTATTGTAGTATTGGCCAGAATTGAGCAGTGTTGAAAGATGGAAAAGAAGAAAGATGCCTGGTAAACTTTTCACTTAATATGAGTTTAATTGGACATTTGCAATATATTTACAATATAGTTAATTAATTTGGCTTAGCCTAGTTGGTTCGTAACTTGACTTAAAGGTAGCTGTGTGGGGGATTGAATCTCTTGTGTCGACCTAAAAACTAGGATCACCCGTGAGCTAATTGCATACTGATGATTTATCACTCCAGTAACTCTAAGAGCGAGATCAAATCATAGCTGGAATCATCTGGGTTTTTTTTATTTTTGAAAAGAATAATTTTCTTTAATGGACTTATTAATTCCATCACCGTTATAGGCAAGTTTTCTGCCTGACCAATTGTCCAATTTGTCAATCCTACTAAAATATTTTACACAATTTTCCACAAAAGACTCATTAAGCAATATGCTTTTCAGCCATATATTTCAATCACTGCCCTTGATTAAATATATATTTCATCTTGTTGTTAACGCTAATGTTAGCTTATATATTATGGGTGTGGACATATATTTTTCCAATCACCCCTCAATATGAGTTACTCCATGGCTGAAAATCTCTTGCCTAACTAAATAATTTTTTATCTTACTCCCTACCTCTTCATTATTCCAACATGTTTTCCAGTATCTTTCCAAACTATTAAACAATATAATTCATAAACTTGGTTAGATGAAAATCAAAATCAAATAAGCTAAAATAATGTTAATCTAGGGTTTAAGGGGAGGGTTTATGTAAGCTGTAATAGAAATCTTAGGCAAGAGTTGTGGAGAGACATAATTGAGTACTTTGAGACTCATATTGGGAAGGAAAAGTGGGCTGTCCTTGGTGATTTCAGCAAATTATATTATGCACCGTGGTGCATAATCGATTATGCACCGCGTGTCTTTTTTTTAAATGAAAATTAACAGTGTTTATATCCGCCGTTTCGCACCCTTTTGTAAAAAGTAACTCTGTTATTCAGTGCCATTTTGTATACACTGCAGTTTCAGTTGAACACAACTACAGTTTCATTTCGATATAACTATAGTTTCATTCGATATTTATAGACTCAAATATGTGAAAATGTTATTTAATTTTATTTTATATACACTATAGTTTTATTAAAACACAACTACATGATCATTTTGATATAATTACAGCTTCATTGTACAATATACACTCAAATATGTGAAATATTACTCAGTTTCAGTTTATATACACTGCAGTTTCATTTCACTATAACTACAGTATCATTTTAATATAACTGCAGTGTCGGTTTGGATATATTGTAGTGTCAGTTAGTGTTTAATACACTAAACAAACGGACTCCGTTAACTCTAACGGCGGGCCGTTTCTTTACTTAAAGAAACGGCGCCGTATATGGGCCGCGGTACATAATCGATTATGCACCGCGGTCTATAATATAACAACTGGGTGATTTCAATTGTATTTTGAGAATAGCATCGAGGTCGTTTGGTTGAGCGTGGTGGCCTACTAATGGAAATTATCTTTACATGGTAGAATTATATTAAAATATAATATGATTATTAGGGTTTTTATGTTATTCTTTTAACAAGTTAAAAAAAAATGTAACATAATTACTTTTATAGATGGAAAATATGTTCTCCCACCGTAACTTCAAAATTTAAGATAAAATATTTGTTTTATTAAATTACATTAAATACAAATAAAGAATATAATAATCAAGTAACAATTTAAAACGTTGTCAAAAAAGTAACCATTTAAAGCATAAGGAACTTTTAAACTTGATAACTTTTATTAAATGGACAAAAAATAATAATATATTACAAGTATTTATTTGAGTATTGTAGTTCTATTATTATTAGCTATTGACTAAAAAATTACTCCATAATAATTATTATAGTGCATTATAAACTAATTGATAGCGTATATGTGTATAACTAATAATGCGCATACTTGAATTATATTCGCTATAATAAATTCAGATCGAGTATAGTCGTTATCCGTGAATGGTCTATCAGGCAATTCCAAATGCATTATAATTACATAAACGTTACATGTTTTGCTTTTAATTTTCCTTTCGTGACCTAGATAAACAGATGAAGTTAATTAATTTTCACTTTTTATTAGCAACTTGTTCAATTCTCATTTGAACCTACCCATAAATATTTCTTTACCTAGATAAACAGATAGGGTTAATTTTCATTCTTTATCAGATTTGTTCTCATTTAAACTTACCCATAAATATATTAGACACTTTTTTTTTTGAAGTAATATTAGACACTTAAATTTGAAAAAAAAAAAAAGAATTAATTGCACGAATTGTTTTGAATTTGAAAGTCTAATTAAAACTTTTTAAATTCATATAATCAATTAAAATTTCACAAATAGTTAAATATTTCACTCCAATAATAATAAAGAGGCAAAAAAAAAAAAAAAAAAAAAAAAACACTCAATACCAAAGTCATTGGCACATTTACGCAACATCACCCATTACAGGAGGAAAGAATAACTTCTTTCTTTGTACACATGCATGGAATGTATTTTTTAAAAAAAAATTATTACAAATTTAACAATCCCACACAAACCCAATTCCTATACAACTTAACTTGTGAACCACAAACTCACCAATATTGAAGAAAGAAAGAATCATTTACGCATCTTCATCAGTCAAAAACAAAATCATTATATTATTTTCTTTATTAGAAAAATTCTGCGTGTCATAAAATATTATATTGTATTTTTAAAAGAGAATTTTATAAATTGTTTTACCTCCCCGGCCAGTAAAAAACTTTTTCAAAGAAGATTAATATAATCTTTTCTAAGCCCCTCTTGCCAGCATCTCCTGGAAATCAAGAATTGATTGCTCTCTTTCAAGCTTCATATCTTCACGAAATTTAGAAATGAAATCCTCCGCCCTCTCATCCACTCCTCTGAAATGCGGTAAAGATGGAACTCTCCATCCACCGCCGCCGCCGCCATTGCTGCTACTCTCTCCAACCTTATTACAGCTCGGCCCCACCTTTTGTTCTTCTCCGCCGTAGCGGCGCTTTGGCGGCAGTTCTGAGCTCCGACGCCATGGCGGCGGAGCAGAGAGAGGGTCAGGGAAAAGCTCGTCCACGTAGATAGCCGCCGGAAAGTTGGGGCGGTGGAAGTGGCGGCGTTGCAGAGGGCGTTTGGAGGAACTAATCAAAGAGTAAAACTTTCGGGAGAGAAGAGGGCGGATGTAGTTGAAGGCGAAGACGCAGCGTTTCTTGGCTCGTTTGATGGCTTTTCGGAGCTTGAGCTTTGATTGGAATGTGGCAGTGAAGCTCTTCCACGCTTTCTTAGCGGGTAGAAGCTTCTTTCCTAGGTTGAAACTGGACATTCAAATGATTGTTTTTTTTTTTTTTTTTTTTTTTTTTGATTTGTTTAAGGTGAAGAGGAACAGGCAGGGTTTGAGGTTTGAGAGTAGAGAAGAGAGATATATTGCAGATTTGCAGGTCTTGATGGGTTTTGGATACTTTGGTCAATTATCTCATTATTCTTTTCTTAATTAGGTAAAATATATATTTAAAACAAATAAATGGGTTTTTAATTGTTTGGCTCCTACCTTTCAAAAGAAAAATAGTTTGGCTCCTATAACTTTCGGTTGGGTTTAATTTTAGGGGTTGTGGGTCCATAGAATTCAAAGATCTTGGGTCCTAAGTTTGTTACAAATTTGAATAAAGCACCTTTAATTTGGAACTTTGTAATGGATTTCCTTGTTGGCAAAGCTCACAATAATGGACTACTTTCTTCTTTCTTATCTTTTTCATCACAACTATCAGCAGACAAGAACGCCCAATCACCATTCACCTATAAGAGGTCCCTAGTTAGGTAAAAAAGATATATTTGGCCTAGTAGGTTTTAGAGATATCGTAGACTTGTAAGAGTTCACATGATACTAGTACAGAACAACTAATTCGCGACTGTTGTACAAGGCTTTTTGTAACTATTGTATAACAATCATGGATACTAGGGTGGCGAGCGACTATTGTTAAATAGTAGAAGAATGTTGAGCATCATCCGCAACTATATTCTTCACAAAGAACAATCGCGGATTATAATTTATTTTCTAATATTCACTTTTCCACGATTGTTCTTGGTTAAAAAAAATTAGGGTATCGGCGACCCTTTCTTCCCTAAAAGGGTCGTTGGTAGTCTTTAAATTCTTTTATAAAAAAAAACAAAACAATATTCTTTTTGCACACTGCAATTCTCGCACAAACATTATGAAATTACAATTCCAAAAATAACAGTATTTTAAGCTAAAAAATAATTAATGAAATTATATCAAAAAGTAAAATTGAGAAAGTAAGAATTAAAAATACATAAAATAGAACTCTATACAATAAACTCTTAGAAGAATTCTATAAGTCATTAGGCTTATGAAGTGACTAGACTCGTCACCAAGTCACCATAGTTGTGGAATTAGCACCTACCTTAATTTTACCTAAGTTGACCACCCCACAGTGCCAGTCGGCCATGATATGTATGGACAAAAACGTCCTACTCCTTCCAAGTTTTAAAGCATAAATATTTTATGGAAAAAGAAATGAAGAGATGCCTTTCTTAGCTCGCTTTACAGCTCAAACCATAGAGGCTTTACACCCTAAATATTTAACAATTTGTTTAATCCATCTCCGCCGCACGTTGCTTCATATTGTGGTATCCTAATCGGCTTTCCTGAGTAGTTAAAAGCTAAAAGTTCAAAACTGTTAAATTTACTGACTAGTTAATTGAAAGTTGAAGTATTTAGTAGAATTAGTAGTTAAAGAAGCTCATAAGTGGTGAAAGAAGCCTTGTCCTTGGCCAAGGATAAAGGTTGTACGAGGATAATGGTGCTCTCTGACTAAGGTGTGCAACCTTTTTAATGGGTCATCAGTGGATTTATCATATGCTAGTTATTGAAGACACTTTGAAGTAGTGTCAATTAATTTCATCTCTAGATCAGTGAATAAGTTTGCTCACGTTTTAGCTAGGGCTACTCGTTCTCAAACTGGTCCCTCTATTTAGCTTTCTTCTATTCCTACTTGTATTGAACATTTGCTTTAGGGTCCGTTTGGAATGCTGGAAAATGACTTCAGGAAAATGTTTTCCGGAAAATGACTCATTTTCCGCAAAATATTTTTCTTTCCGGTGTTTGGCTGCAACAACAGAAAACTGTCTTTGTGTGTTTGGTTCATTTCCAGAAAATTAGCAGGAAAATAAACAAAATTGTATACTTCACCATTTTAATTGTTATAATGCAAAGAGAGATTTAACTTATCTAGGATTGTATAATTCCCTTATTTTGGATATGTTAATGAATTAACATTTCATTCTCAAAAAATAAAAAAATAAAATCCTAGCATCGTTAACAGCTGGAAACCAGACCACTGATTGTATAATTCCCTTATTTTTTAAATCCTAATTTAAAAAAAAAAAAAAAAAAAAAAAAAAAAGGGACTGGTTTCGAAGCTGGAAACCAGACCAGAGCACTGGTTTGGTTTCCAGCAAGGAAACCAATCGCCGGCTGGAAACCAATCGCCGCCGGAAACCAAACCAGACCACTGGTTTGGTTTCCGACGAGAAAACCAGATTGGTTTCCTTGTCGGAAACCAATCTGGTTTCTGGCTTGGAAAACCAGATTCAGATTCTGGTTTTCCAAGTCCAAAAACAAACTGGTTTCCGACTTGGAAAACCAGATCTGTGGGTTTCCAAGTCGGAAACCAATATGATTCCGGTTGTGGGTACGTCGGAAATCGTTTCCAGTGGTCGAGAAGTTAGTGTTGGTGAATGTTGCGAAAGAAGAAGGTCTTTGTGCGAAGAAGGAAGCTGTGTTGATGGTCTCTGGCCTCTGTGCGAAGAATAGAAGCTGCGATCTCTGGCTTCTGTGCAGAGAAGAAAAGCTACGTGCGAAGAAGAAAAGCTACTGTTTCTCAGACCTCTGTGCAAAGAAGAGAAGCGGAAAATGACTTCCCCTCAAAAAAAGGGGAAGTCATTTTCCGTAAAAATGACCTAATTTTACATTGACCAAGCTTCATTTTCCATTGACTTTACTATTTTACTCCTTACCAAACACTAGAAACTCGAAAAATGAGAAATCATTTTCCGGGTTTCCAAACACACCCTTAATGATTTTCTGGTTTTCCTTTAAAAAAAAAAAAAAAAAAAAAAAACTCATAAGTGTTAGTGACAAACAAAAAATATATCTATGTATACAAAATAAATTTAATTTTTAGGTAAAAAGTGAGTATTGATCATAGTCATATCCATATAAATGTGGATATTGAAATTTAGAACCCATTAAAATTGATCGGGTCTTGAGTGATTGGACCAACCGACTCGTAAAATGTTAATAGACTTACCAATTATGTATGCCCAAATTAAATCTTATATGTTTGGCCCATGATTTAAAATTTATTTTATATAAAAAAATAACTTAATCAACTATATTTAAATATATTGGATAATTTTGTTAAGCTACAAAATTTTAAATGTTTTTTAATATAAAAGTTTGAATATTTTTTAATTCAAAATTCAAATTCCTTTGAATTCAAATTTCAAACGTAAAGTACGTATGTATGATGTTTTTCCTATTATAAATAGAAGCCTCCATTTCAAGTGAAAGGGGGTGACAAAGATGTGTTTCAAGTATTTAAGCTTTCAAATTTTTAAGTATTCAAGTTTAAAGTATTGAAGCATTCAATTTTTTCAAGTATTCAAGCATTTTAAGTACTAAGTTCGTTACCAGGACTATGTGGTCCAATGGTATCCGGGTTGGACTTCCATTTGGAAGATTATAAGTTTGAGCCTCGGTGGAGGCGTTATTGGTTATTTGTGTTTCAGTAGGTTGAGAAAGTATATGAACAGATACTACAATGTAATAGAGCCAGTAACTTTCAAAAAAAAAAGTACTAAGTTCGTTGTGTTCAAGATAAATTTGTTCATAGCAAAATCTTTCAAGTCTCAAGTCTCAAGTATAGTATTTCAAGTCCAAGCATTTAAAGTATTAAATCTCGAGTAATCAAAATTTAGGCATTTCGATCAAGTTTCAAGTTCGTTGAACTGTACTCAAGTCAAAATTGTTTGTAGTGAAGTGTTTTGATTTTGAGTAAAAGACATTTTTAGTCCAAAATTTATAGTGGCTTGGACAATTTTAGTCCTTTATAAAAAAATTTGCCATTTTATGGACAGAGTTATTGTGGCGAGGACATTTTTGGTCCTCCGTCTATATTTCTGTTAGATAACCGTCTGAGAGAGGGGTAATTACGTCAATTTAGGTCATCTCCTTCTATCTATTATATCTATGTGTGTTTTGTTTTCTTCTCGGTCATAATTCGAAGGAGTCGGAGAGTCCAAGTTGCAGTTGTACAAAGAAATTGCCGGAGAATCGAAGCCGCCAAACAGGTTACTAATCAAATAGATAGAAGGAGAATCGAAGCCGCTAAACACACATTGATATATAATAGATAGAAGGAGATAGCCTAAATTGACGTAATTGCCCCTCTCTCATACGGTTATCTAACAGAAATATAGACGGAAGACCAAAAATATCCTTGAAATATAGACGGAGGACCAAAAATGTCCTCGCCACAATAACTCTGTCCATAAAATGGCAAATTTGTTTATAAAGGACTAAAATTGCCCAAGCCACTATAAGTCTAGGACCAAAAATGTAACTGATACTGCTAATTATACGCAAGCAATGTAAAATACCCGAGACCGTTGATAGCAAATAAAGGACTTTATTGATCACGGTAAAGGCCCTAAGTACAATCTACTTGGTTGCTCTGAGTACCGACTGAGTGCGGTCGGGATTCTCTAACAACAACCTATCGATCGTCCAAAAGTCCCCTACACTGTAGCTACTGTGGGTATTTATAGCCGCTATGCCGGGGACAGGATTCCAGCCGTTCGGCATGTCCTCCACGTAGCCACCACGTGTCATCCTCCCGGGTGCCCTGCCTGTCGATATAGAGAGCCGCCACGTGTCCTTCATCAGCTCTCTCGCCAAAGGGCTACCGCTCGGTGGTTGACATCATCGTTCGGGCAACTCCCGGTCGGACCCCGACCGGGTTCTTCACAAGGAGCCCGACCTGTTACCTGCAAAGACAAAGAGAAAAGGGTAAAGGCATCTCGGTCGTGGTGAAGCTATGTCGGTCGGGATATTCCCTACCAAGAGCCCCCCAGCCCGGGCCCTTTTGATCGTCCGGGAAAAACGGGACGGGATGAAGAAGCCCAACCGTCGGCCACTAAACCGACCGGCCAACTGTCATTCCCCTCCCCGCCACGTGTCGGCCACTGCCGGCCTCTGCGACTGCAACCGTCACCTCGGAGTCAGCGCTGGTCGTGTCACGCAAGTGGATGATTTTCCCGCCTAAACGCTCTCCTATAAATAGGCCCCTGAGGCCTTCATTTGAACTTTCCTCAATCTTCTGAAGCAGTCGGTACCCTCAGAGAGTCCCGAGCATCAGTTCAGCGAACCAGTCGAGCAG